GTGCTTGGTTTAGCTGTGACAGCGATTTCTCTGATTGTCCAGGTGTCTGTGGCTAATTTATTTTGCGTTTGTTTATCTTTTTATGGTATGACCGTAGTTTTATATAGATGGAAGTAACAAGCAGTAATTCTATGTAGAGAATGAGATATTTATGACTCTAACATCATGATGTAGTGTGGGGGAGTACAGGCCTGGTTCGACAGCAGAGGCCTCGAGAACCGGAGGTGCAGGATGCGGTGTAGAGGCGTACAGGCAGGGGCTGGTAAGAGATGGGGCACAGACTTGGCACTGGAGACCCCGCGGCTATAAACAACTCACCGATAGAAGGTTAAAGAAATGCAGACCTAGATCAGACAAAACTGGTTTCAGGGATAACAAAGAGAACAAAAGAATAGTATGTAATATATGTAAAAGGCACCATGTATGGTAGATTTGGAGGTACTGCGGAGCTGCAGATTGATGAAGAAATGGCAAAGGTGTAAAAGCATGTTAGCAAAGAGAAAAATGACTCCAAGTGGATCCTGAGGTGAGGCAGAAAAAAGCACTAACACGAACATCCTGTTGTTGCTGGTGAAGGGACTCCAGATGCTGACAGCTCACCGCAGCACCAGCAGAATGAAACCACCAGCCTTGGGATGCAGAGGAACAATGGAACCACAAGCATCAGGAAAAAGGGTAGAAACTCAATGTGTGAATAACAGTTCAAACTGTTTTATCACGATTATTGTGGCTTTCTCTGTATAGAAGTATTCTTACTGTATTATTATTTTTGGTAACAATTGTATCAGGATTAATAATGATTATATGCTAACAAAAAAGTTCTTGGCTTTATATAAGGTGTGCTGACTTTTTGCCTATAAATAAGGTTTGGAGTGTAACAACTGGTGGATGGTGGGCAGCCCTCCTGTGAACCTTTGGGGCACTTTGGAGGCCAGCCCTCTGTGAGACCTTATGACATTGTAAGGGTCGCTCCTTCCAAAGCCCTTACAGCAATTTGGGGCTGTCCTTTTGTATTCAGCATGTGATAATCAAAGATTATGTGGGATTAGAATTAATATACGATCCTGTGGTCCTGGCAAGTATGTCACTTAAAGAAAAAAGTTGATTTATGGGCAATGTCCGCAGATCTTAGTAAGCATATAAGGTGTGTTTCCCTCTTTGCCCATGAAGGGGATGTTGAGTGTGAGACCCCATTCTAGCCTTTTCTTGATCTTGCTGTAGTCCTTAAGTATACAAACATCCTCCTACCTCAATTTTGGATTTGCTATGCACTGGTTTGCAAGTGTCATATGGCAATGGATGAATAATATCAACCCAGTATCAGAAGGTTCATTTCATAGCATTCTATATTCACTATATGTGTTCCTTTTTTTATTTTCATCTGAGGTAGTAGTAAGCATTTAGTCCACCTGGGAATGCAGCATCCATCACTTCACTGTGAAGACAATTTAATGGAATTAACCAGGAAATAGTTCCACCATCTAGTCATACTGTTTTTAACATAAAAATACCTTCCACATAATGTCTGTATATGTGAAACTGCTAAATATTTTAAGTTTCGTATTCCAAATTCACTATAAACATTTTGGCAGCTGTTTCAAAAATTGCTGCAGGTCTGGGTTGTTTATAGTAGACAGAAAAACTGGGTTAAAAAAACACCGTTCAGGAAATTCTTCTGCTAACTCTCCATCTTAAAGCCATACTCTTTTGCCAGTGTTACATCTGTGATATGAACCTAAGCTGGTGGCTTAAAGAGAGTGGATGAACAAACATTTACTTTAACTATTTTTCTGTGAGATGTCAGTGTGCATTTGTAAAATTGTTTATTTTACATAATGCACCTGGGTGTCACCATTTACATTCTGTGAGGTCAAGAAGTTAATGATGCAGGCTTCACTGAATATCTTTAATGCATTTTCTTACATTTAAAATAAGATCCTTTTTCTCCCTCAATCCAAACCAAACAGTGATCATGATGAGCTGTGGTGAAAAAGACCTCTTGCATCAGCATTTGGACTTGTCCATTTCCAGCTATATGGAACAACAGTCTTTTTTTTATGCCAGTTATTAGGAATGTGGCAGAGTGCAGCTAAGTCACACTCCAAAATCGCTTGAAAAATAAAGACTCTGTCAGAATTTACTCTTTCCTTTTTGGAGTTATATGCTGGAACTAATCCAGGTGCAAAGTTGTAGAATTTCCCACATGTCTGAGTTTAACAACTACAGTTCAACTAAAGGCCTCCTTGTGCAGTTTCTAGAAATATTGAGGTGATCAAGAAGAATGTGTTTGAAGTACTTGCTAGGATAAACAAGTCTCTTTCTTCTGTTGTGATTTCCCTATCTCTTTAGTCAGGATAAAGATGTAAAATATTGCAGGTTTCTGTATCAGATTTTAATGTGAGTGAAATACAGGAATACTGAAAGTTGACAATGAACTCTAGTTCTACTTTTTTAGTTCTAACTTCTGGATTGTATGAGCAATTAAAGTTCCTGTGAAATTTTAACCAAATTGCAAGAAGACGTTTTATGTGGATAGAGTCCTCTGCAGATTTTTTCTGGCTTTGAAAAACTG